GCCCCCTGTAGGCGAGACGCAGAACCACAGCCCACAATGTCCGCTTGCTCCTGAGGAAGGAGCCAGCAAGCAACTTCGCCAGATCTGAGCCTGTGGGGACAGACACCTAGCAGAGCACAGCAAGGGCGCAGCCCCCTTTGAAGTCTGTCTCCAGGCCCTAACTCTCCCACTGGCTTCCTCCTCCCGTCAGGGGGCCATGTTCCTTCCCAGTCCTCGCCATCTCCCCTGCCCCTCCTAGAGTTTGATCAATAAGAAAACTTCTATTTTAGTGCCTTAAGGAGATGTTAAGCAGTGCTGCTAAATAATGAACTAAATTAGAAAGGTCCAAACACACAATAAAGATAATAGTTGGCATGGGCCCCTAAATTTCAAAGGAATGAGAGAAAAAAGCTAAGTCCTATCATACCAAAAGCCAATGAGGGTAATGAGCCCACAGTGGAAAATGGTGAATTATAGTATTAGCCAACGTTCATCAGTGCTGTGAGTAAATAATTTATAAATATGTAAATAAATAAAATATAAATAAATAAACTAATTTAACCCTTGCACTAACCCTATGAGATAATTTACCATTTATTACTGTTCCTCATTTCACAGATAAAGAATTGAAGCACAGAGAGATGTAAGCATCCCATCCAAAAATCACATAGCTATGGTGCAGAGATTTGGGTTCGGAGCACGTGCTCCATTCCACCAAAATGTGACGCCTCCCATTAGGAAGGCAGCAGAGGTACCTCATTTATTGTGTTTGAAATGTTACAAGTTCTTCAGTCAAGAACTGTAAGAATAAAGATATCTCTATGAACTGAAGTTAGACCATATCACTCCTGAGACCATTACAAACCACAATCCTAAACAGCCCCAGCTCTCTCTCCTAGTTCACTCTTTCTGATAAGTGGAGGATACATATTGAGAAGTGTTCCCTTCTATTATGGGACTAAATACAATAGAGTAATGATAATAAAGGTAAAGAAATTTTAAAAATAAAGGCCAAGAATACTGTGTCGACAAAAGATGAAAGGTGAAAAAAGAAGCCCACAGGTCTGGTATAAGGGAATTCCTTAGAACTAAATTCAGGATGCTCTCCACTTTCGCTATCCATACTGGGAAATCCTGAAACATTTTAGATCTATGGTACAGGAGTTTATAAACACTTTATCAATATAACCCAAAAGTCTCTGATCTACAATGAACATCTGATTAAATATTTCACATCTAAACCAAAAGCCATGTGTATTTATTAAATCAAAGACTTCCAAGGGAGAAAATATGATTTTGAAAATGAAAAATAATTTCAGTATACAAGTAGGCAAATAACACTATGGACCCTATATAAGACAATATTATCTGTGCTGGTCCTGGTAAAACATTTAAGTTGAAGTTTTCTTCTATGTATACTTCCAACATAAACAGAAAGTTGACCGAATTTAATTCAGCACCTTATTTTATTTTCAACTTCACTTTCACCTTTTATGGAATTATGATTATCTGTAAATAAGCACTGGAGTATATCAATTCAGGAAGGTTTCTGGTCTCAACTGAGCTGTTACAGGTGGTAACGAGAATAACCACTTCTCTTGAAAAACACCAATCGGATATTCAATAAGAATGGGTCTTCCCATGGAAGCATCTCAGCCACAGCAAGGCTGGGTGACATCACGAGTCATCTGTTCCTCCCTTCTTTTACTCTCTCTTACAATGCCCTGCACAATAGACGTTGGCAACACTTCCTAAACATACAAAAACCAATTTTTATGTATTATTTTTCAAAATACAAGTATACTGGATCATACTCATTGGGCATCTCATGTAAGCCCAGCCCTTAACCCTAAATTAACATGTCCCCAAAACTGGGAAAAAGATGACAGACTGACCCTCTCATACTTGCTACTAACAAGTCCTTTGGCTTAATAAATCAAAATATCTATACTGATATAAGTAGCTTAGACTCAGCCAGATCTTTCCAATGAGTGATTTAGCCTAGGACATAGCAAAACTACGTCCAGCTAGCCAGTAGCCTTAGACAAATTTGTAAGTGGCACAAAATATTTTATCTACCAGAAGTGTTTATCCAAACACTTTCACTCTTCTGTCTCCTAAATCGGCAGACCAGGAAGCACCCCAGTGGCCAAACATGAGCCATGCATACATATCTTCATAAACAGGTATGGAGAGTCGGCCTCTGGCTGTCCAAGATCCCAGTACCTGGGATTACTCTCCATCCAGAAATCCATTGGTAACTTATATTTGATCAGTTTCTGTATGTGTGTAAGTGTAAGTTTGCTCATTGAATTGCAACCTGGCTTCCTTCACCTGTTCTTGACTCACAGTCCCTGATAGTTGCTGAAAAAGTATACAGTATACACGAATTCACACAGACATCACTCCACACAGCTATTCCTGAAATACTAGCTCTTCTTGCTCTTCCATTATTTCAATTTTCCTTTACTTCTGTCTCTACTTACCATTTACTTACACTCTTATTAAATGAGATTTACATTTTGATAGGCCTCCATCCAGAAGTTTATTTGAAGCAGTTACTGATGATGCTTTCCCCTCCAAAATGCCCTTGTATTTCCCATCCATCAACCCAGCTTCCTTTGGTCTCCTTTTAAAACTATCCTCCTCCAGGAAGCATTCTTTGATTACCCTCAACCACAATGATCACTACTCTCTACTGTTGTATTTTTTTTCTCATATGGAGAAGCTACTTATGTATTCTTTATACACAAGGCCTTAAACATCATTGTGTTTATTGGATTGAAGAAATGCCTTGATTTATTTTTGTAATTTATCTACTTAACTAAAATTCATTTATAACATTTGTAAGTTAGTTAATTTATAACATTTCTCCTATGTGAATATAAAAGTAAACCATTCAGGGATACTATCCTTCAACTTATAGCAGGAAAAGACGTAACATAATAGGCATTTCAAACTTGATCTGTCCCAAATAAAACTCTTATTTTTTATTCCCAGAAACTCTCCCTCTCTCAGCATTCATTGTCTCTAAAAATGTCTCCATCATTCACTCAGTTTCTTAAGCAGGAAATCCTGGATCATCCTTGCCTCTACTCTCTCTTGCTGACTCACTACTGGCATTTCTGAACACCCTTGTTACACCACCGTCTGTAAAATGAGAAGAGCAATAATCACTAGCTTCAATTTTGGGGCAGGCTATGATGCCTCTTTTTCATGTGAAGATTTTACACACACATACACACCCAAGAAAAATTCATAAAATGAAAAATAGTAATAGTGAGAACTAAACAGAGAATGAAGATAACAGTTTCCAAAATATTCTAAGTTACCGTATTTCACTGTGGGGGGTATTTTTATAGAATATACTTCAAATATTGAAGCATCTACATTAAGGCTCCTATAATTATATCCAAAAAATTTAGATATAATAACCCCTAACATCTGTATGGGGCTAAACATGTGTCGGTCCTATCTTAGTTTAATGATAATATTTTATGATCGTACTGTAGTTTATAATGGCTTTCATGCCCCTCATGTCATTTCTCCCTTAGCACAGCACCATGACAGCTATGACTGCATTTTACAGATAGACGTGCTGGTTAACTTGCCCAAGGTCACTTAGTGTGTCGTTGCTGAAATTCATCCAAGAACCTCAGTTTCCCAATGCCTGGTACAGTGCTCATGCTGTTAAAACTTTCTCTGAGCAATCCTTACCCTATGAAATCGGTAGAAGATCCCAAACATGTATGTATTCATACATACACACTACACATGTGTGTACCTACACACACGTGCACACACATACACACACACATATACCCCCATACTGAGTTTCTTTTTATTTTTAAAGATTTATTTATTCATTTTAGAGAGGTAAAGGGAGGAGCAAAGGAAGAGGGAGAGAGGGGATCCCAAGAAGACTCCCCACCAAACACAGAGCCCAGTGCGGGACTTGATCCCATGACCTGAGATCATGACCTAAGGTGAAAGCAAGAGTCAGACGCTCAACCGACGAAGCCCACCCAAGTGCCCCCACTGAGTTTCTTTATGGTCACCAAAGAGTCAGGCTCTTTCAGGAGGCCCACAACCACCGATGAATTCAGTGATTTGCCTGCCTCGCTCCCTAATAACAAGGGTATTTCACGAGAAAGCTGAAAGGTATCACCTAAGACCCCGTTAACACACATTAAATTAGTTTCCCAGTGCACGACGCCACCCCACAATGGAGTCACTGACACCAATAAAGGAGGCTGCCCAGCGTCCTCAGCCGGGCTCCTGGAGGAGAGAGATCTCAGCCTCAGGCGGAGCAGCTCGTGACGCCAGAGCTATAAGGCAAACATCCTGAAGAGCAGTCCTGGCCTCGGGTTGTACTTGGGTCTATTTTGTTCCTTTTAAAGCTACTGCCTTTAATAGAACAAATCTCTTTTGATCTGTGCCTGCTCAGCATGTGGAGAGAGGCTGAGAGAGTTTGTGTTATCTTAGTTTAATAACTGTTACACCAAATAAACACTATGCACAGCACTCAGCCTTCTAGAATCGGAAAATAAATCATCACCAAAAAGCTTATTTTACAAACCCACAAATCATTAGAAATATAAATGCTTTCCTTTCTATTCCCATGTTTTAATAAAGACTCCCCCCCTCTTTTTTTTCAGACTCACTCAATTACAATATCACTATCAGTTCACATTACAGGTCAGAGATATGGCGCTTAATGTATGTAGAGCCAGTCCTCCTCTCCTAATAACCTGTCATTCCGGGGATTTGAATGTCAGAACACAGCCTGCCGCGGTAATGCTAGTCGGCAGCCCGATGATGAAAACTTTGGACAAATCATGAAGAACATTCCAGATCCACATCGTCGGAAGGTTACCGGGGAGAGCCTTTCATTCTGCTTTGACCCCTTGATCTGACAAGTGACACCTACAAAATGAACAGCTCTCCAACTTAAATTGTTTAACTGTAGCCTGATCAGTTTTATTATCTTGCTAATCCGGATATCAGCCGTTTCATCAGAATGGAAGATATGCATATCATGAATTATTTTGACACGGGGACCTTTTAATTTTTGCCAGCAATATTTCACTGCCCCAATCAGGGCCTGCAGTCACTGGTGCCGTTCGCCTCCTGGGATGTCAGAGGACAGCGCACTCCTGACAGCACCAAATCATCCGGGAGCTGGAACGAGCCTTCGCTGCAATTATTACTGTCTTCCGTAGTCATGCATTTCATTACAGCGCAGGCAGCCAGGGCCTTGGGGTTCAGGGCAGCCTTCTCCAGGAAGCTCTGCCATTTTATGGGCTTGTGGAGCTCTGGGGTGTGATTTCCCCTCTCCTTCCCCTCAGTAGACAAGGCGAGGTGAATTTCTAATAAAAACAAAACACGAGGCCGGCACTGCGGGAAGAGCAAGCTCAGTACAGGACATTAAGCAGCAGTGAGGCAGCGTGAATGGCCCACTTGAAGTTTATGAAAGCAGTGGTTAATCAGCAATATGGTTTGCTACAGAGAGAAATAAAGAACAGTTTATCGGGGGGGGGGGGGGGGGCAACGCTCCTTTCTAAATTGCAAAGTGCTCAGAACGCTTTCTTAAAGAAAACTCCCTTTTCCCTTAGATGTGTTTCTTAATTTCTCTCTCCCCTGTGGATCATTTTCTCCTTTTGAATTTCCATCCTAAGAGGATCCAGCCCCCTCGAAGCCTGACCCGCATGGTCTGCATCACCGACCTGTGCTTTGGCACTGTGCCATCATCTGCACGGAATAGCCTCTAGAAACACGCTGTCATCTTTACTCTGAGGTGATTACAGAGCCTGTCGCTCATCGAAACTCAGGGCACCTTCTTTCTAAGTATCCGAGGGAGAAAGTTTGTTCTAGTCTCACCAACAACTGATCCATGTTTACCTTGAGGGCACTGGGAATTATATACTTTATTATGCTTCCTTTTCTTGAGAAGACTGCTAGAAACCTCAAAACTAAATTTGCTATTCCTCAAATTATTAAACATAGAACTACCCTATGATCCGGAAACTCCACGCTGGGTATACATCTGAAAGAATTGAGAGCAAGGACCCAAACAGATACTTGTTCACCCATGTTCATAGCAGTATCATTCATAACACAAGAGGTGGAAGTAACTTAAGTGTCCGTTGATGGACGAATGAATAAACAAAGTGCAGCATATACGTACCATAGAATGTTACTCGGCCTTGAAAAGGAGCGAAATTCTCACACAGGCTACAACATGGATGAACCTTGACGAACTAATGCTAAGTGAAGCAAGCCAGTCACAGAAGGACACAAGCACTGCATGAATCCACTTCCATAAGATATCTAAAGTAGTCAATTTTATAGAGAGAAGTAAAATGGTAATTGCCAGGGAGGCCTAGAAAGAGAGAGATGGGAAGTTATTGTTTAATGGGTACAGAGTTCAGTTTGGGATGATGAAGAAGTTCTGGGCGTGGACAGCAGTGATGGTTGCAGATCAATGTGAATGTCCTTAGTGTCACTGAATGACACACTTTAAAATAGTTAAAACGATAAATTGTATGGTATGTTTATTTTACCACAATTTTATTTTATTTTTTTAAAGATTTATTTATTTATTTGACAGTGAGAGAGGGGTCACAAGTAGGGGAGAGGCAATCAGAGAGAAAGGGAGAAGCAGGCTCCCCGCAGAGCAGAGAGCCTGATGTGGGGCTCAATCCCACGACCCCGAGACCATGACCTTAGCTGAAGGCAGAGGCTTAACCCACTGAGCCACCCAGGCACCCCTATTTTACCACAATTTTAAAAAAATTAACTTTGCAGTCAATCTCTAGCAAAAGTATTGAATACATACTTGTCTCATTACTGCCTTTATTTCTTCTCCTTTATTTCTTCTTCCTACGTTTACATTATCTTTGCTTTATTTTCCTCACCAACTCTTTTAAAATATTATTTTATTGTTGTGTGTTGGTTTTTATAGTACGATGACTTAAAATATTTTTTTGGCAGAACAAGGAAGGACTTCCTATTAAAGTACACTCAGTCTAGCATGACAAAGTTGTTGGTGATTGTGTCCCAGAGAAGGCGTGAGAAATACATATTTCTGAAGTCCATTAGTGACACTGAGATAAGAAGGGAAACCTCTGAGAGGGAAGACTTCCTTTTCACTCCTCCTTGAGTTGGAGGGACCCCTCCCTCCCCGGTGCCACCAGAAGACTTTGTACAGAGCTCTCCTGGGCCCTTTCGCCCAGCCCCGTATCAATATATGTCACTTCTCTCCCCCACTGCCAGCCAGCCTTGTGAGCATTCTACCTCGCAGAGCCTCATGCTCAGAAGGGAGCTTGGCTTAGTGTTCTACTGTGAAATAGTGAATTTCTTAATAACTTCTTAGAGAAGAGCTCCAAATTTTCATTTTGAACCACACAAATCCTGCAAACTCGCAAATTATGTGGTTGGTCTTACCTCCCCTAGACAGTGAGCATCTCTGGGGAAAGAAACCCATCTAACTTTTCTTTGAATCACCAGTCCCAACCCCAGTGCCTGATAGTCAAGTCCACGGAGAGAGTCAATAAATATTTGTTGCACAAACAATGATGGGAACTATAGGAAGCCCTTGTTTTCACAGTTCTAAGTATCCCTTCTTCAAGATCACATATCAAACCTGCTCCAGAAAAAGCCTGCAAACACAGGAAGGACAGGCTTCATGGAGGAAAAGGAAGGTTTATGGTCATGACCAAGAATAAAGAGGACAACGTGCCCCTTAATCTTTCCTAGGTTGGAATCCACACGTAGGATTCATCTTTGATGTGAGGAATGGGCTGTTTGTTGCAGCCAGAGCTCGAGTGGTTGTACCCCAAGCTCCAGCCTCTTCAAGACAGAACTTTGTACAGATTCTTCTCATATTGACACTGTTTTTTAAACTCTCCAGAGATGTGATTTTCACAGCTTCCCTAGATAACACAACTTAGCCACCGCATTATTCTTCACAATTTCCCTAGGACATGAGGCTTTAATAGTTCTCCATTTAAGAAGACAGAAATACAGAGAAAGGGAACAGAGCTGGAAGAAAATCATGAGGAAAGGAAACTGAAAGCTTAGCAAGGAAGACAGACATGCAGACAGTCAGAAAGCAAAACAGCCACCGCGGATCACAGCTCATAACTCACAGCTCGCTTCGGGTGCAGGACCTTTACGATATCCAACTTCCAGAGAAGGTTGTCCAGAAGCTGAGGGCTTCCAGATCATTTGTTTTCATTTCCCAGAACCTAAGAAAATATAAAGAAATATCAACCAAAGAAGCCATTTAGGATCTTTGAAATCTGCCTTATACTTTCTTTCTACGTGAGGATTAGGGGCCAGAGTAAATCAAAGACATTAATTTGAGGCAGGAAAGGGGAAACATAGCAAATTGGTATGTGGAGGGAAAAGAGGGGATACAAGAGGAAATGGCATCCAGGGCAGCATTTTCTAATGTGCAGACTTTGCCTAAGCCACCCCCCACCCACATGCTCACTCAGTTCCTAACAGCATCTTCATCAATTAAGATTCTATGAGACTGGCAGGCTCCGAGATCAACAGTACCATCCACATATTCACTATTCCACTGGCAAGGCGAACAATTCCGAATATTAAAAGTAAAGCAACACGTTCTGCCATGTCTTTTGTATACAGACAGCTGAAGCTGCGTGAAAGTTTGGCACCAAAAGGCCAAGTACCATATTTTCAGCCACCCACACGCCAAACCCCATAATAACTACAGACTCTAGATGTGAAATTTTCAGACATTTGCAGTGAAGGAAAACTAATAGTCATGTTTCTTCATGTGCTTCCTTTCCTAACAGGGCAGTTTCTCAACTTTAAAACCTCGTCAATGTAAGCTAAAGAGAACAAAGGGTGCTGCAGAGATATTTTCACCAGATGTCAAATGGTGCTTATTTATTTAAACAGAAAACCCCACTTTGTACATTTGGTTCATTTAGTGGTATGTGCTCTGTAACAAGTATTTTTTATGAGTAAAAAGCTGCCACCAGTGTGCTTAAGTTACAATAGGGCTTCAGAAAAGTCTGTTAGCTGAGACTAAATATTGCTCTTTTTGCTTTTGGTTGAAATGTAAATTTCATTGCCGTCCTCCCTCTATTACAGGAGAAACGTTGTTGCTTAAAGTCATAGCAGGACTAATAATTCGTTCTCCCTCTGTGGTCAAAGCTAGAGGCAAAGTTGTTTGGTTCACTGTGCTTTTTAAGGTAGGTATATATGCTACAGAGCATTGATTTTCTCAAACATTAACAGCAGGAAACATATCAATTCCCTCTTGTGTGAATAACTGGGCTTCCAGGACCTGAATAAGCCATCAGAACCTACAGGCTGAGAACTTGTGTTGCCCACTGCGGATAATAAAATAGGTCATCCAGCACTCCTCTGAGCCTCTGCAGATAAGGAGCATGTTAACTTGTTCTATAAATGAAGGGCCTGTATGTCCCTCATTCTGCCAGATAGAAAATGTAATTTTAGGTCAGACCCTGGTCAAGGAGTGTCTCCACCTGTCAAAGACAAGGTGTTTCAAATACCCCTTCTACCAATAAGGTGAGAAACAGTTGGACAGAAATCACACCTGGCAAAGACTCAGAAAAGACCAAAAAGCTTCAGAGATAAGCAAATAGAGAAGGGATGTATTCCGAGATTATCAAGTACTCAACATCATATTCTACAGAGCATAGTGCAGAGGGCCAATCCCCTCAGAAATACAATGAATAAAAAGAATTTATGAGAACTTATATCTTTGTATTTCCTGAGGCCTTCAGGTCCCTGGTATAAGAAGTGAACTCACAGCACAGAAGGGCCAGAGGCATAAATGAAGGGGAGAACTTAGGGAAAGGTCAACTACACTGGGACAATGGAAGAAGGGGAGCCCCAGCTGAGTGTGAACAAAAATTATTCACTCAGTATATTTGGTGACGGGTTTTCACCAGTTCCTTGATGAAGAGAAATTGGTAGATTAAAACCAGCATTACTGTGTGTACTTGTTATATATCATGATACACATATTAGATATATAATAACTAGTACATAATACAGTATCCATATAGGATAATATAGTGTACATAATTTTATTTAATATAACTTTTCAGTAAAGTGTACATAGTTCTCATCTCATGCTATGCCTTATCCATTTTTAACTTTTCTTTTTCAAACCCAGGATTATATAATCCATTCAGCTTTATGTTATACTTAGAAATCTGGATAAACAGGGCCAAAATAATATTCTAATGAAAATTTAGACCTATTAGATATTATTTATCAGATATCCATTGATGGACTATCATAGATACCATCAGTGATGTGGCATCTCATACGGAATGCTAACTTAACTTCCTTCTTTATCAGGACAGTGGCTTACTTATATTTCCTAAGAAAACCTGCCACTACAAAACACCTAAAAATATGGACCATTTTTTAAAATTCTTTTAAATGAATATATGATCCAAAAAAAGTAAGCAAAATCTCTGGGGGCCAAAAATAAAAAGGAAACTAAAAACCAGAGTGGCAAGCCATCTCTGAGCTTTTTACTGCATTGAAAACATTCATTATTCACCAAAAGCAAAGCTATGTTTTAATGGCCAAATAAGAATAGGACGCATGGCCTTGGGCCTAAATGTAGAGAGTTATAATGGAATCCCCTGATAATCAGAAATTTTCAAAAATTTCAGAGAAAGAGGATGTGAGGACGATCTTCTTTTAAAGAAAAAGATTTTATTCATTTATTTGAGAGAGCGAATTCACATGAGCAGAGGGTAGGAACAGAGGACAAAGCCAAATCCCCACTGAGCAGGGAGCCCAACGCGGAATTCAATCCCAGGACCCCAGGATCATGACCTGAGCTGAAGGCAGACACTTGACTGACTGAGACACTCAGGTGCCTTGTGAGGGCAATCTTGCTACATCTGTCACCTCATTGATAGCCAGGGTTAAGTCAGCAGATCTGGCTCATGAGGCAGGTATCCCCAACCTCCCTCACCTCTCCATGTGTGTTACTCCAAGCTGAGGCTGGGTCAGAGAACAACCTTCCCCAATGGAGAAGGACCACTTGTGGGTTAAATGTATAGAAATAGCCGTGTGCCCCTGCTAGTACCTCCAAACATGCTCCCCAGGTCCATTTGTAGGAGAACATAAGGAAGTCAAACTTCCAAGACGGCAGACACAACCAAATGAGGCTCTGCATGTGGCAGTCTGCCTTTCTTAAAAAAAAAAAAAAAGAAAGAAAGAAAGAAAAGGTTTTTCAGAGAAAGAGGAAACTAAAAGAATATCAAATCTCCAACTTTTAATCATAATAGTATATATTTTCAATCCCAGACTATATTCGGGTTTAAAAAACAAAAAACAGGGGCACCTGGGTGGCTCAGTGGGTTAAGCCTCTGCCTTCAGCTCGGGTCATGATCTCAGGGTCCTGGGATCAAGTCCCTCTTTGGGCTCTCTGCTTGGCAGGGAGCCTGCTTCCTCTTCTCTCTCTCTCTGCTTGCCTCTGCCTACTTGTGATCTCTGTCTGTCAAATAAATAAATAAAATCTTTAAAAAATTAATTAAGTAAGTAATTAATTAAATTAAATGAAGAACAAAAAACAGATGCACCTGGGAGGCTGAGTCAGTTAAGCAACCGACTCAATTTCAGCTCAGGTCATGACCTGAGTGGGATCCAGCCCTGCACTAGGCTCCACCCTCAGCAGGGGAGTCTGCTTAAGATTCTCTCTTTCCCTGGTTCTCTGTCCCTCCCCCTTCTCTGTTTCTCTCAAATAAATCTTAAAAAAAAAAAAAATAGGGGCCCCTGGGAGGTTCATTAGGTTGGGTGACCAACGCATTTTTTGTTCAAGTCATGATCTCATGGGTCATGGGATCAAGCCCTGCATTGAGTTCTTTGCTCAGCAGAGAGTCTGCTTAAAGGATTTGATCCCTCTGCCTCTCCCCCCACATTCTCATGTTCCCTCTCTCGAATAAATAAATAAATCCTTAAAAAATAAAAAAGAAATTAAAAAAAAAAAACACCAGCTCTAGGAGAGCACATTGATGCAATGAACACTGGGTATTATATGACTGATGAATCACTAAACTCTACCTCTGAAACTAATAATGCACTATATGTTAATTAATTGAACTTAAATTTGAAAAAAAAATACCAGCTCTAATGTTGGAGAATATGGAAATATGGGCCTATATCATTCATGGTCCAGAAATTTGAGATATCAACATAAAAAGTAATACCTAACTTGTAATACTCCTCTAAAATACCTAAAAGAACCAAATATAAAATCTCCCTTTAGAAATACAGCCTCAAGCTGGTCAATCAAGGGTCACATAATAACTCTATGTATCATATTTTGAGGAACTGCCAAACTGTTTTTCAAAGTGGTTACAAAATTTTACATTCCCACCAGCAGTGCATGTAACTGCCAATTTCTCCACATCCTTGCCAACATTCATTATTGTCTATCTTGTTTTAGCAATCCTAGTGGGTGTGAAGTGGTATGGCACTCTGGTTTTATCTTTTCTCTAATGGCTTATGATATGGAGCATCTTTTAATGTGCTTATTGGCCGTTTGTTTCTCTCCTATGGATAAATGTCTACCCAAATCATTGGCCCATTTTTAAATTGGACTATATGTACTGGTGTTGTTGTTCATTTATAAAAGTTCTTTATATATTCTGAACACAAGTCTGTAATCAAATGTATTACTTACACATATTTTCTTCCATTTTGTGGATTATATTTTCACTTTTTTTATAATGTCTGTTGAAGCCCATAAGTTTTTGAATTTTAAACAGATTTTACTCTTTAGAGCAATTTAAGTTTGCATCAAAATTGACTAGATGCTACAGAGATTTCCCATCCTGCCCCCACTCATGCATAGCCTCCTTCATTATTAACAACCCCTCATCAGAGTAGTACATTTATTAAAACTGAAAAACTTGCAATGACACCATTATCACCAAAATCCATAATTTACATTACAGTTCACTCTTGGTGTTGTACAGTCTACTTGTTTCGACAAATGCATAATAACAAGTTCACCATTATAGTATCATACAGAGTAATTTTGCTACCCTAAAAATCCTCAGTGCTCCTACTGTTCATCTTTCCTTCCCCTTAAATCCTGGCAACCACTGATCTTTTTACTGTCTCCATAGTTTTCCCTTTTCCAGAACATCACATACTTGGAATCTTATAATATATAGTATTTCCAGATTGGCTTCTTTCACTTAGTAGCATACATTTA